AATATAGATTATAGCCTGTTAGCAAGTATAAAAACTAGTACTGTAGTATTTCAGTATTTTAGGTTTTATTATTATTACGATCCTACGCACTATCAATTTCAGGAATTAATTTTCGTGTAACATATAATTCTTGTGATCTGGAATATTTTGATCAGCATATCTATACCATAAAAGATACGATCTGCATTGTCCTAATTTGGAATATCAGCAGACTGTAATAAGCATTGCTAGAAACCTGTTTTTTTTACTGATTAAAATGGTAATTAATAGTATGGATTACAAAATATGTAAGTACGTAGCTTATTTTCGGAATAAAAAATTTACTACTATATTTGGTTTGAAAAAGCAAGGTAGCTTATTTTCAAGTAAAACAAGTTTTTAAGTTTTTTGGTTAAAACAAAGGAGTAGCTTATTTTCAGAGTAGCTTATTTTTGGGAATCTATGGTAATGATTATTAAAGTAATATGTAATATTACTATTGTAGAATAGCATTTCATTGTAGAATAACTTTATTATAATTATTTTTAGCATTATTATTGAAGAATAATGACTTAAATAATAGTACAGACTATAATTACAATGATTTATTTTATTATTACAATAATTTTAATATTATTGCTATTATTATATAACATTATTTTATAGTATTATAATAAAATAACAATAGCTATCTCATCCTTATAACAGACCTAACTCCACTCAACATACTACTAATTTAGATTTGGAAGATCCAAGTTCAGACTTATACTCTAAAAGCACTAACTGTATATGTAAAATTTATACTTTTTCTTGTTCATATAAATCACCAAATCAACTACACTCACGTATAGAAGTCTGTTTACCGGTTGGTTAGACCAAAAAGAAAATTAACACTTGGTCTTTTTATTGGGCCAAATATAGTATCTCTTAAATTATATTTTAACTATAGTAATCTAGATGAGTTTTTAACCACTCTAGTAGATTTAGATTATAGATAAATTTTTCTCTGTCTGAGCTTTTATTTTTGTATATAATTTTTATTTTTATTTGTACTGGTACAAATAGTAGTAGCTTTGTAAATTTTTATATTTAGTAGTTTAAGGATTAGTTCTGACTACAAGTGAAAGTCTTGGTAACTGTGTTGTAGTAATCTATATTGTTACTATTTAAAAATTATTACTAATAAAGATATAAGCAAGACTTCACTTTAAAACCAAAAAAAAAAAGTATTATAGTATTAATAAAAGATATTTAAACTTCTACATTTTCTCTAAGACAAAGAGATAGTTGGTCCCCATATTTTGGTTATTATAATACTTTATTTTTGATATACTGCTTATAATTTTTGTTTTGAGTCTTGAGTTATTCTTATTTTCTGCTTTAAATTCTGTTATATTTTCTATCTGTTTTTCTATAAAATTGTGATATTTTTCTTGGAATTATTATATTTTTCTTGAGTTATTCTATTTGTTTTATTTATATTATTTTTTTAAATATTCTTTGAGTTAATAAAATCTATCTTTAGTTTATAAATTGTTGGTTATAACCTTTTTTTATTGAAGTCACATTGGCAATAAATCAACAATATTTTATCTTCTTATAAATTATTTTCTGTTATAAATTATATAAAACATATTTCTTAACCACTTGAATATCTAGTCAAGTATTGTAGTTTGTTAATCAAAGGTCTAACAACACTATATTACAATAGTATTATCATTGTAAAATAGCATTATTTTAACTATTTTTAATATTATTATTGTATAATAATGATTTAAATAGTAATACATAGTATTATTACAGTGATTTATTTATTTTATTTTTTTAATGTTAAGGTGATCACTTTGGGGTCTGATACATTTTATTTGCAATCTAGATCAAGTATCAGCTCAGTTTTGTTAACCTCACTTGACTTTGTTATATTGACAAAAGTACAATTGATCATATTTACAACTTTAATTATTGCATATTTAAGAGTTTTGCTATATCTATTTCTATCTATAGTTATCTACCAATTGCTATACCTAAAATCTGCTTGTAGATCCTCTATTTAAACCCTCTGATTGACTTCATGCCGTCGTGTTGTTTTTACTACTACTTAATTGCTACTAAGACCCCTTAGGACTAGTTTATCCTTGTGGTAAACCTACTAGAGTTTTTCATACTTACAATTCAGCTAACCTAGTCTTCAGTAACTTATGCTCTTATTTGAGAACAAGTAATTGTGAGCTGAGGCTATTACCATTACCGTTGCTCTTGCAAAGTTTACCCAAACCAGAGACATGTAAAAATTTGGATTCAAATTTACCCAAGTAAAATCCAAATATCAAGCTATTTTCCAAACTTATCCAAATATTTAAATATTTTCCAAGTAAATTAAAATATTTTTAGTGACAAGTCAAGTTATATGATTTTTAGCTAATTAAAATTAGTAAGCGTAATCAAATCATAATTGATAAAAAAAAACTTTTTGAACATATATACATACAAAATGTAAAGAAAAATTTAAAACTTTAACATAAAGGAGACTTTACATACGCTGTATTGAGAGATTTAAAACACACCAATATTTCAGTTTAGGCTTTTTTTAGAGCCTTATTTTTTTTTTACCATCTTTTTTTGGCCTTTTTTTTGGCCTTTTTTTTTTTTTTGCATTTTTTGTATTTTTTTTTTTTCACTATATGGGTTACTCAAAAACTATTTTAGCTCTTTCATAAGCACAAGAATTTCCTGAAGACTTTTTGAGGACAGGAATAAGCTTTATTGTCAGTTCTGTAGTATAAGTGTTGGCTGGCAAAATAAGACAATTATTACTACTCATATCAAATCAAAGGCTCACAAAGATGCTTGTCATTCATACACTATTGCTAATCATAAAGACCAACAACAGTCTCTTCATATTGCACTAGTGGTTGTTAATAGTAAAAAACAGATCATTGAGGATTTAGTGAAGGCATGGGTTGGAGTGAACATTCTATTAAAAAAAATTAATAAGCTTCAAGACTTTTTTAAAAAATACTGTAAAGAGGGGGTGCAATCTCTTCATCTGATAACATTTGGAAATATTATTTGGAGAGTGTTTTTGAGGAACATTATAGACAGCTTCATGAAATGTTTTGTAAAAAATTAATTTTTGTTATTATTGATGAAACTACAAATAAAAAAGTACATAGTGTAATCAATGTTCTTCTCTTTAGTTATAGAGGTTTAACAAAATTAATCTCGGTTAATTTTTTATCCTGAGTAAATAATGTTACAATTAGTTAATTAGTACTTCAAATATTAACAGAATGAGAAATCTCCTTTTCTTCCCCTTATCTTATTGTGTTAGATTCAGCTGCTTATATTAAGAAAGCTGTCTGAGAAATTTTACAACCTGCAATACCACAGATTCGACATAATACATATTGTGCACATATAGTTCAATTAATAAGGTTAGCAATTATTTATATTGTAAAACTATAAGTTGTATTATTTTAATTATCAATAATAAAAAATATTATAATTTATTAGTGAAGTATGGACAAATATTCATCATTTTGATGATGTGCGCAAATTAATTTTAAATATTAAAAAGACTATGACTTATTCAAAGGCACGATGAACTAGATATATAGATTATTTTTGATGACATGAAGTTAAAGAGGTTTTGACTAATTTGGATAATGCTCAAGACTCCAAAGAACTAACTTTATAGTTTATGCTGTTACCTAATGCTACGAGGTAAAATTCGTGATTTTAAATAGCTATTTATATTTGTGATTATTTAGAATATATTCGAATGTTTTATTGTGAAGAAGAGAAATTAGAATCTAATGAATCTATTAAAACATTATGTTAATTTTTAATAATAGAAATACAGATAGTTTGATCGAAATTTATTTGA